TCCTGCCACTGTCAGTATGTTTTACGTCATCTGCCTTGATGAGTTGAATTTCCCGCTAAAGATTTTAGACAGTGGCTTATGCATAATATATATGACTTTTTTGCATTTGACGGACGGCGCAACAGTGCGTAGGAAGATAAATTGGGACCAAAATTCGTTTGGTTGAAATAAGCCCAAAAAATGTGTAATTATAAAGAATATAGTAGACATTCCAACTGATACAAATTGCTCTGAATATCTTGTATTTCGATACCATTTTTATAAACCAAATTTTTGGTCGGATTTTCTGCTCAGCAAGGCAAAGATCATACGAAAACAAATTATTTACAAGTGCTTATACCTTTTATTAGAAAGCCAAATTATGAAGATTGTCAAAGGTATGTACTTTTCTACTGTACGTATATTATTTGTTAAAATCTTTCGTGTCTTTGTTCTGCAGATATCAAACTTTCACTTTTTTTTCAAATATCGATATATTGAATGATGTAGATCTTTTGAGTTACCAACACAGATAGTTACAGTCGGATAGTATAAAAACAAAACAACTCCATCAAAAGACACTGAGTTTAAGAAATTGTCTTAGATACTTACTATATACAGTGTGTCAATTTTAAAACTTCCCACCCTTAATATCTTTCTTGCAGTTAAACCCCATAAATAGAACAAACTACGGAAGGACAAAAAAAACACGTCTATAGAAGCGACACTTTAAATTAATATTTTTGGCCTTTTTCTTTCAACCCCTTAGGAGGGGTAGATGTCACCCTTGAAATCTTAAATGGGAATGGGGGTCAAGTGGCACATCGTTTTAAAGGGCATTTAATTCTCTTTGCAGTGGTATCCTACTTTGTTGCTTTTTGTCCAGATATTTCCGAATAATCGTGTTTCAAAGTTGCAGAAACAATTAAACGAGCCTGCATTGAGATTTTGGTTTTCAGGCTAGTGTTTACACAAAAATTATTGCAGTAGATCTCCTTGTAGTACAAATGACTAGAAGATTAGGTGGTATCAAGGACGTAGCCATTACATTTTTCTAGTGGGTCGCAATTCGAAATACTAATAAACAGAAAACATCATAAACATTAACGTTTCCTTTCTCAAATTCGAATGAGTGGCAACCTCTAATCAGTTTCACAGGAAGATTTGTTAACATTCCTGCAGGACGGTGCTATAGCTCATTATTTTTTTGCAGGCCGACAGTGTTTAAACGAGAGATTTCCGGGTACATGGATTGGCAGAAGGAGACCAATTGAATGGCTTTCAAGATCACATAGACTTTTGTATTTTTGGGGGACATCTTAAATCCATTGTTTATAAAACACAATCTACTGATATTGATGATCTTAAATTAGAGCAGAATTCCAGTGAATTCCCGGTGAAGTTTTCCGAAATGTCAGGGAGATGTTTCAAAACAGACTTTATTACTGTTTACGGGAAAATGGACAACATTTTGAACAACCTATAAGATAACAACTTATAAGATAAGGGCGTAAGTGGTGTAACCTAATCTTCTAATCATTTGTACTACAGGAGATCCATTGCAATAACTTTTGTGTAAAAACTAACCTGAAATCCAAAATCTCAATGCAGGCGCGTTTAATTGTTTCTGCAATTTTGAAACGCGATTATTCGGAAACCTCTGGATAAAAAGCAATAAGGTAGGATACCACTGAAAAGAGAATTAAACGCCCTTTAAAACTATATGCCAATTGACCCCCATTTCCATTTAAGATTGTAAAGGTGACATCTACCCCTCCTAGGGGGTTGAAAGAAAAAGGCTAAAAATATTCATTTAAAGCGTCCCCCTTACAAATAAAATTGAGGTGTCTTTCCAATTTTTCATATTTTTAACTGCAAGAAAGATATTCAGGGTGGGAAGTTTTAAAATTGACACACTGTATGAATTTACAATTACCGAGTGTTAAAATTAAAATTAAAATATCTATCTTATTTATTATTTTCAAAATAAAATATATTTTTTTAAAATAAATTATAGAGGGTGTCACAAGATTACAAATTAATTAAAAAAAACTGCTAAAGAGTTTTTTGATATCATAATTTTATGTATTTGGCAATAGTTTACAATACGCTTTTTGTGTGTCATGTACGAATAATATCATAGTTTTATTATCTTGCATTTATTTATTAATAAATTAAGTTGTTAATAAATAAATAAATTTAACCATATAGTTGCTATATATTAGACCATTTGCTACGTTCTTAGATTTAAGTCCCAAACATTGCTCTTGAGATTTTGACCCGCTAGAATAACCATCCGCCGCACTGTGGAGCGCTGGTCAGCGCGTGACGTAGCATGCCACGGCGACTACGACAGCGGCGATTTGACGCGATCGAACAGTCCTTTAGAATATAAATATACAGTCCTTGCTGCATAACCATCGTGTCAAATACTCGTCAGCGAGTAATGGCAGTAAGTAAGAAAGGGGGCCAATAATCGACGACTTTGAAATTTATATCCTGAGCCTATGTATATAATGCCTATCCTGGTGTAAAATATTACACAACTGGTAGGGTCAGCTCCATGGATGGAAATGTTTCTGCAATGCAAGTCACTAGTGGAATGCCGGAAAAGAATCTGCAATGCAAGTCACTAGTCCTGTCCCGCAAGGATCGGGGTTAGGTCCTATACCGGGTGCGTCTCAAAAGTGGCTCACCCCTATAACTTTTTTACTTTTTCAGATAAAAAGTTCAGATTTGGTATGTTAGTGTATGACATAAATTAGGATTGATTGACGTATTCAATTCTTTTCGGTCACTTCCTGTTTCACAGAAAATGACTACAACTTTTGATTTTTAAATGACACCTTCGGTATTTTTTTACTTTATTCGAAAGAAAATAACACTCTGAATAGAATGACATATCATAAGTCAACTTTTGACATTTTCGCATATGATGTATTTGAAATTATAACTTGCGATTCGTAACGAAAATTTGACTCGAAACACCAAGTGTGTGGTATCAAATTATTCGTAAAAAAATGCTTTTTTCAAATATGCTAATGAGCCACCACTCTGTATCACTAAATTGTTGGAAACAAAAAAAAAATATCTTAGCTCCACAGAAGACCGAAGCAGTGTTGCCGATAGTAGCAAGAATCAGTAAAATACTTAGGAGTACATTCTGTACAAGGGTCAGCATTTCTCGTCTTGGGTGCCGATTTTCGTGTGTACGAAGAGTACGGTCAACAAGCTTAGTAAAATAAGATGTACTGAATAAAGAGAGAAGGCAAGTATTTTTTCGAGCGCATGGAATCTAGCGTCAAATTAAGTGATTATGTAATAAATACTTCGTATATTTGCTCTCTCCGATTTACTAGACTACCATAGCGATTCACTCCTATACATGTAAACGCCGACCCAAGGTTTCGCTTGCCAGCAGGGTATAAATAAAAATGAGACTATGAAAGTTCATATTGCCAAGACTGTAGAAAGAGCAACAAACGTCCTAAATACCCTTTCAAGAATAATTCCCTATACAATAAGCGGCTCCAAAGAAAATAACAGAAGACTTCTTTCATCAGTAGCTCAGTTCTTATATGGAGCAAGTAGGGGGGTAGAAGCGATGGAGAAAAAAGTTCATAGAAGCGCTTTTTGAAGGGTACAAAGAACGGCGGCAATAAGAATTGCATGCGCCTTTAGGACTACGTCAACAAGTGCTTTACTGGTTATAGCAAGAACCCCGCCAATACATCTATTAGCCGCTACCGATCAGAGCTGAAAAAAGAAGGGAAAGGCAGCAAACAAGGATCATATGAGAACATGCTGGCATGGCAAAAAGAGTGGTCTAATGAAGAAGTCAGAGCAAGCTGGCTAAGATATTTTATACGCAATATAGAGCCCTGGGTCTCCAGAAGTCATGGCGAAGTTGACTTTTACCTAACACAAGTATTATCGGGACATGGATACTTTAAAGTCCATTTTAAACACTTCCACCGTAGGGATACGGATACTTACTGCGAACTTATTGACAATGTCGAACACACATTTTCCATTTGCCAAGATGGACCTTTAATAGACATACTGTAGAAGAGAAAGTAAGTAAACTAACACCAGATAACATAATCGACACCATGCTGATAAACGAAATATTTTGGAAAGAAATAAGCAAAACGGCTAAGGAAATCTTTATAGAAAAATGAAGAAAGAGAACGTATAATCCGATAGATCCAAACTCCAAACCAGCTACATAGAACATCTACATAGGACCCTCCTTCTGAAGTAATGCTAACGCGGTTCCAGAAGGAGACATATTGTTCTGAGGGTTTTTTTAGTCATTAAAATTCTGACACTACTTGGGTTATCTTCCCAAGTGCCCATGATAGGTTTTTCCCTAAAAAAACTGGTAGGGGAGTGTTTCAGTTCTGTCGATAGATTAATTACTTCTCAATAGAGTAATGAGAACTTTCCTCCGAGGTTTATACATTATTTTTTTGACAATCGCTCTATTAATCAGAAACTAGATACAATATTTAATTTTGAAAAATATAAAATGCCGATGCTCAGCCCGGTAATTTATATCTCTATAACAGAAATTATTTTAGGACAAATTCCCTGACACCGAAAATCCATTTCAATCAACCTTTAAGACGACATTTCCCTTACCTGCCAACGGATTTGTTATTGTCACTGGAAGGGCTGACTTTGGACGGGGCCCTCGTCAGAAAATTTTGCCGAAGGGTCTCGTCCACGCTGTACACCCATCTCCTGTTCCCTTCGTTAATGGAGGCGGATTGACGAGCGTGAGCGGAGGCGACCTTGCCGGACGAGTCGATGGCGCTGTCTATGCTCCTCTGGAATACAAAGAGACACAATGCTTAAAATAGAAATAAAGGTATACAGTTTGTATTAGCCTTGTATATGTATTTTTAAAGTAGATCAATCTAAGAGGTTTATGGAATAAGACTACTAGATGGCAGGACCGTTTTCTCTGTATTTTACTACAGAAAAATATTTTTTGTTACTCTGAATTTTGAAGCGGCCAATAAAAAAAGAGAAAATAAAAATCGATAATTTTCGGACTGTGACAATTGGTTACTAATCGACCAAATACTTTTTGTCTATTATATATGCTATTAAAGCTGGTAATTATACAATTCGACCATTGTAAATACCCGAAAAAAGGCCGACGAGGCCGATGTTTCTCACTGATAAGAAATAAAAATGTGTGTTTAGATAATTTTCGAGATATTTTTTTTCTTTCTGTATTTTATATTCTTTGCCCGCTTGATCTATCCTGGTCGCACGTATCGAAGTTTTGTTTCTTCTAGTTTAAATAAAAACCTTATTTCTTTGTAGTTGTAGTGTAAAATTAGATTAATTTATTAAGTTTAATTATGTGTTTAGTGTAGAATACCAGAAATAGTTTAGTAGTGTTTTTATAGTTTATTTTGTAGTTAAGTAGGGAAGGGATAATTTGGTTATTTTTTCTTTTTGTTTGATTAATTAGTAAGTTTGATAATTTTTTCAGTGTAGAATACAAGAAGTAGTTATGTAGTGTTTTTATAAGAGATTATATTAGTTTATTTTGGTAGTTGAGTAGTAGGTGAAGGTATTTGGGTATTTTTTTCTTTCTTTTTTCTTCTAATTGTAGTATAGTTCTATTAAGTATTGTGATAAATACACTATATCTTCTTTCAACTTCGTTTAAAAGTGCGTTATCATATAATTTTGGTTTTAGAATATATGAAAAAAAATCTGATCAAATTTATTTTAAATTAAATTAATCTAATTAAACTATAGGTAGTCTCCTTAATCAAATTAAACTAGTCAAATACTAGTAATTCTAATGAAAGTTTTTTGAAAAGAACTACCTATTCCTAATAAATAAATGAACTATTTAAAAAAAAACTTTACATTTACATTAAGAGGTCTACACACTTTTGCTCATTAGAGGACATGTTTTTTAGAAAAATATTTTAGTGATAATCCATATGCACGTCCCTAGTGAATCAGTTCACACTTTTTTAGCGTTAAAATATATAGCAGTCATAGTAACTTTTACCCTGCAAATTTCATTCGAATCGTTAAAAGCACTTGGAAGAAAATTATAGTAAATCGAAAAAAAATTAAAACTTTAACCACCTGTAGCTACAAAGAAAAGCAGCATCGGATGCATGTTGATATGAACAATAAATCTAATTTTTACGTGAGGATTCTTCCCACGAGAGATGACACATGTTTTTTGAAATACCTTGTACAATTAGGATAATTGTTTAATGTAAACTGATTTTTGCCGTCTTAGAAACTGGTAAACGATATTTGAATTTAAAAATGACATGATCAATATATACCTATAGAAAATATTTCTTTTTCTACTCCGCAAGAAATGCGGTTATAAATATTATACCTTCTTAAAAGTGTTTTATGAATAATGAATATATTTTTTTCTTATTAATTAGATACTCCCAACAAAATTTGCTTTTACTTGGTTATTTTCATAAATTTTGGCTTAAAATAATCCAAAGATAATCGGAGCAGATCTGAATAATTTATCTTTCCATTAGGCATGATAAATATCAACGTTTTGAAACGAGATCATTGAGAATAAATACCGCTGGAAAAAATATGAATAAGAGAAAATGGGATTACATTTGTCGGTGTTTAAAGGACCCCATTAATCAATATACAAAAACCTACACAGAAAAAAAATATTTTTGAGTCACTAAAAAGTCCCTATTAAATTTATAAGAAGCCATAATATAAGAACAATGAGTTTAAAAATAATTACAGTTGAGGGTTGGAACATTTGGTGTTACACAGCAAAATAAAAACACTAAATCACCACAATACACCAAAACACTTTTACTTTTACACTGGACGCGCGTTTCGCTAACCATGTTAGCATCATCAGCAGATGATTATAAACTACAGTTACTAGTTAGTTTATAATCATCTGCTGATGATGCTAACATGGTTAGCGAAACGCGCGTCCAGTGTAAAAGTAAAAGTGTTTTGGTGTATTGTGGTGATTTAGTGTTTTTATTTTGCTTTAAAAATAATGTCTATACGTCTATCCCTTTTTTGTCTATCCCTTATTTTCGTTTCGTAGATTGTCTTACAGAGCATGTGGCAAAATACCCAGATACTTTTTTTGAGACCATTAAGTTTATAAAAACTCTACAACCCTTTTATAAAATCCTATGCTATCTATTGTAGATATTTGTATAAAATGGTGTACGATCCCTTAACTGCTGACATTACTTTCTGTAAAATTAATGCCTGACATGGAGTTGAACAGACTCTGTTATACAAAACGTGTTTTTAAAACAAAACTATTCTTCTGTGGGTTTTATGTTTATTTAATGTAAAACTACTATTCTCTTTTACTTTTTGAGACATTGTTATATTATGACACATTTTATGGAAACTCTCCAATACAAGAAAATTTAGAAAAACATTTTTTTCCTAGCAACAGTAAACTCAAAATTCAATATGTTTCTTAAAAATTAGGGTAAACGCGGGCAAAGTGGAAAACTTTAGCCGTGTCATTTCTATGGATTAGACCTAACACTTTAGAAATGCGTACGCCTTAAAAAAACTTTATATAACAATTTGACTACTTAATTTTACTACATTTTTCAAGATATTAGTATGAATTTTTGTTTAAAAACAATTTTTAAAATTTTTTGTAATTTTCCACTTTGCCCTATACTAAGGGGCAAAGTGGAAAATGCTTTAAGGCAAAGTCTGTATTGCTTAGGGCAAAGTAGAAATAATAATTTAGCCGTTTCTATTAGTAAATTTTTATTTATAACAGTGATACATTATTTTCTAGTCTACCGACAATTATCGCAAAAGAAAAGTTTCTTCATTCCAGATAGATCTGAACACAGTTCATGTGCCCATTCTTCGCAAAGTGAACATTGAATCCAGGTTTCCGTTGGAGGATTTTCATATTCTTCACCACAGGTAATGCAGAATATATTGTTTTCTTGCTTTGGCTTCGATCTAGGGATTCCTTTTTTCTTTTGTCCACTCCCTTCAGAATTCTTTCCATCTTTATCTAAGCTGCTCTGTAGGTTACACTGTTTTGGTTTTTTTAAGTTTTCTTTTCCTTTGTTTTCGAGCATTAGCTTATAAGGAGAACTTGTTAATATCTCCGATTTCTGACATTTCCTTTTTCTAGCCTCATTTACTGAGTGTGCGGCTTTAGGTAGGGGGAAAATATCTTTTGGGGATACCAAACATGTTATTTGTTTTTCAGGGGAAGCTGGAGGTGTTGAGTTTAAAACATCTTGGATAACAACCATACTTTTGTCTATTTCGATAGCAGAATCAAACACCGGAGAAGCGTTGTTATTTTTGTCATTGACACCAGGTTTATTAATTCTTGATGAACCAGGTTGGGCTATCTCACAACTAGGGACTACTGACCGAGTATCTTTAGTAATTTTGACACTATTCTTGAGGGCGGCTAAAGAGATATCTTCGTCAGAGTCAGTATCGTCTTCATCAGTTCTCAAAGTTACTGCAGTAGCTTGACTCCTAATTTCGTCTTGGTCAGTTTTATTTTCAGGAGCAACAAAATGAACTTCAGCAGGAGCGAAGTCGGTTTCGGAGAAAATATTTCGATTAAATGGAAATATTCCACATTTTCGAAAACCATTTGTTGCTGTCTGAACGGTGGCACTTTTTTCAAATGCTATTTTTACTAATTGAGCTATATCAAACTGGGTTATTCTGCGCCCAGGATGATTCTTTTGGAACATGTCTACTGCCCCTTCGAATGCTGCCTTGAACGGTTTGTATACAGCCACATCAAGGGGCTGAAGTCTGTGCGTAGTGTGGGGTGGCACAGAAAGGATTATTACTCCACAGTCCCTTGCCAAGTTCAGACCATCTAAGCTTTGATGAGAGATGTGGTTGTCCAAAATAAGCAAAATTGGGAGATCTTTACTGGGACGTACACATTGAATGAAAAAATTTAACCATTTTATAAAAAGTTCACTGGTAATCCACCCAGAATCAGAGCACCATGCTTTAGAACCAACGGGACCTCCATCTAACAATCTCTCGTTAAGTTTTTTTCGGTGTCCAAATATCATGCATGGCGGAAGGAATCGCCCAGCTGCACTGCAACAGCCTATTACGGTAGTAAGCTGACCTTTTTCGGCCGAACTTATCACTCCTACTTGTTTTTTTCCTTTGCCAGAAAGGACCTTGGGTGGTTTCTGAGCAGAAGTCTTGACACCCGTCTCATCCATATTAAAGATATCGTCTGGACGCTGTAGAAGTTCATATTTCTCTAAAATGTTCCACAAATTGTCGTAAAAAATCCAACTTGATGTCTGTTAAATGCAGAACACTGAGAGATACTTGTGGGTTCAGGTATGCGAAATGATAAATCAGGATTCCGTGACATGAAACCTTGCAGCCAAGCCTCTCCCGCTTTCTTATTTTTAAATGGGTCTTCAATAGCATTCTGTTCAGCTACCTTGTACGCCAACAGTTTTAATCTGTTCATCGTGAGACCATAAAATCTAGCGTCAAGTTCTCTAGCACGCTCACTAATAAGTTTTTTTCTAATTCTGGACTAAATACACATCTGAATCTACCTAACTGCTTCTTATGGGAATCTTTCTTTATATGTCGATGCAACGTACCAATTGGTATATTGTATTTTATTGAGGCAGACGAAATAGACGTCAATTGGGACTCTTCCATTGCCCGTCGCATGTTTTCTTCAGTCCATGCTGCCTGTGATGTTTTTCGTTTATATTTATTAACCATCTAAAAAAAAACTTCAAAAAACACAAAGTTATATTTTAGGGGCAAAGTGGAAAGTTTCCACTTTGCCCTCATCTCTACATTTCCACTTTGCCCACCCCAACACGTGTGATATTTTGGGGTTAGAAAAATTAAACCATTCATAATTACAGCATAGTTTCCATGGAAATAACTTAAGGAGATAATACACTAGTCATATATAGCAAACAGATGTCATCCTCAAATATTTGATACTACAAAATCAACTTTAAACTTACCGTGATAATTTTTGCCGAATTCAGTTTGAAAATAACTACTCGTAACACATGAATGAATAAACTATGTCTACAGACATTAGGCGCCATCTGTTATTAGGAAGCCTAACTTCTTCCTGGTAGAAAATTTTAAACTGCGGTTTACCGATAAGGTAGAAAATTTAACTTTCCGCTTTGCCCGACCCTTCCATTTTGCCCGTGTTTACCCTACTAAACAGAAACAAACAGCCGTTTTGTATTTCTTAAAATACACTAGGTACTCAAAACAATTATCGCATATTGGAATAAAATCAATTGTTACATATTTCTAAATGTAACATGCATTTTTTCCTTTCTTTTGTAAGTTTTTTTAGGATAATTATTTAGGGTACCCAATGACATATAATTTTTAGTCGGCCGACTTCTTATAGAGCCGATCGGCTCAATATTTGATTAAATTGAGTAGCCTTAGCTTATGCTCTGACAAGCAATTTTTAATCGGCCGTATATTTAGTTGCATACTTGTAACCGATATATCCTTATGGAGTCGCCCTCACATGCAACTAAATAGTCGGCCGATTAAAAATTACAGGACAGCGCGTAGGTTTATTGTATCGAATTTCCCTTCACAGTGTCCCGACTATTTAAAGACGTAAGTTAGGGAATTCAAAGTGTCCTGTTGTTCAATTTAATTTTTTTTAGAAAATTGTAGCATTTTTTATTTCCTTGAATAAAATTGAATTTAAAAATCTATTTTTATTTAAATTTCTTAGTATTGGCGCCATCTATTTGCTAGATGCCAAAGATACCAAATTTCATTTCTTACAGTTTACTTGCCTTGTTTATTAGCGCCATCTATTCGCTATATGCCAAACTTCCTTAATTGCATTTCACTTGTCCCAATCTCACGTCGCTGTGGATTGCGATTTTCTGTTCTAATGATTTCGATCATATGATATCACTTTTTTCTCTCATTTTGTCTGTGGTGAATAGGGTTTTTTTTTGTTTTTTGGTTCTGAAACGGAGAAGAAGCTCTTTTTTCTGGGAATTTGGATCTGAAGAAGACGCGTTTCGGCGTCCGACAAATTTTCCAGTGAAAAGCACTCTGAATCCACTTTTCGATTTCGATTGCATGGGTATCCGATTTGGAGATTTGAAAACCTTGTAAAGTATGCAATTCAGAGTATAGATCGTATTTGTTTGGTTTCTTCTTGGAATGATCACCGTAAGTTTATCCGCCATTTTATATAGCCCTATCTAACTAAATTTTATTTCAGTTATTTCCGTTTTTTACTTCGTTTATTTGAGTATTTAATTACTGGTTTGGATCGGCATATGGTTTGAATATATTTACGTAAAGCTGATTTTCAGACCGTAAGTTGTTTTTTTTTATTTAGTATCTGTCCTGAGAACTATTTTTTATTTATAGAGTAAAAGTACCACATGATATTAAGTAAAACTACCACATGATATTCAGTAAAACTACCACATGGTACTCAGTAACTACCACCTGGTACTCAGTAATTACCACATGGTATGCAGTTATAGTGCAGTAATTATTGTATGTTTCACCCACTTTCATTTTGTGTGGACCTATGCAGACCTTAAGACAATGTTCCTGACATTACAATCGTTCTTTTGGCTGATATCGAAGACTTCTCCTGCCATAGTCATCTGCATCCACTTCTGTTAGTCTGGAGAATACCTAACTACCTGTTTACATCATAAGAAACTATATACAGATAAGTCTTAAGTTTGATACACAAGGTACGCTTTTATTTTATAATTTTTTGAGACAACAGATTTAATAACCTGGTAAATTATCACTATTTATCCCACATATTGTAGTCAAAATTATTTTTATTTAACGTTATAAGTTATAATTTGATTCGTACAGTATACTCTTGCTTAGCTATGATATTTTATATGAAAATTATTAACACGTATTCATTTTAAACGTTTTTGTACACGACATGTTTCGAAACATCATCGTATTGAGATATCCATAAATTTCACCTGTTTTTATATTAAGTAGCTTACTTAGTTCAAAGAATACAGTTACTAAATTCGAGTCTATTTAAAATAACTTGCGGTTTTATTGGGATCACTGTGACTAATTGATGATACTTGTGTTCGTTTTCAATAAATGTTTAATGTAGGATAGTTATTTCTGACTTTTATTCTGATAAACATAATAGACCCTTAATGCTGTTGATTACTTTATTTTAGCTATGTTGTGATATCGTATTTTTCTTTTTGGTTTCTTACTTTACCACTCTCATAAACAAAGTAAGTGGCGCCCTTTTCACTGTCTTTGACCATACCTATTTGAATTCTTAACATCAATATTAAAATCTCTGCAGCCTATATATTATCATT